TTTTTTTATGAGAAATAATATTTTTTAATAAACCCTTTTTCATTCGACATACTTTATCTTAATCGAGATATTAATAAGGAACCAGCAGATCAAGTAGCTTTTGGAATAAAACACCAATTTTTTTAAAATTAAACACTATCTAAAGATTTGCATCGAAACGTTTATTTTTGATAGTGATTTTAATCACTGTCAGATATCATTATACTTGATCCAACTATGCCACGTCACCACTGTGCCGCGACCCCCCTGTGCTGGGTTTTTTTTAAATGTACCACTTTTCATTTTACAAAGGGACCTCAAAACTTGAAACATACACATAAAAAGTAAAACTTTTTCCACTTTTATTTTGTTAAATATATTAAATTAAAGCTTATATTAAAGTTAGTAAGTTAAACTAAAATAAATTTTCTTAAATATTTTAAATGTAAACAGTCTTCGTAATTAAATAAAAAATGTTATTTTTATGTAAAAAATCATCGATTTTGGTGTTATTAAAAAATTTAATTTTTTTTTAAATTATTTATGCTTATATTGTATATCAAACGCTATAGTCATTTAAGAGGTAAGTAAGTACCCCTATTGAACAAGCTCTTTAAATAAAAAAATAACAATAAAAAAAGTTTAAATGTTTGTTATAAATATTTTGCAACTCCTAATGTCCATCAAATAAGTATTTTAAAAGTAGCATTCTTTTCAAAAAAAATTTTCTAGCAAACAATGGTTTATTTTTAAATTACAATTTTGCTATTTAACTGAAATAAAAATTAACTAACAAAGGTCAAAATTATCCAATAATGAAATTTAACTTCCTCTCTTTTTAGCCTCGATGCAAAGCTGAGAAGATATTAATTTTACTAGGATGTGTTATTATTTTTTCCTTTTGTTGGGTTACACTTTCTTCTCAGCTCTCACTATATCGATTTTAATTAACAATACATAAAAAGACCACAAATTGTGTATAGTCAAAGACATTACCCTCAAAAATTAAAAAATATCCCTTGTTCCCTATAACTGAGGAAAATCTCCTATAATGTTACAATTTCAAAATAGGTAATTCTCGATATTTTTTTAACTTTTTTTACTTAAAACTTAGATAACTTTTTGAAAAATAGATGAATTAAAACAGATATTTTAATAGATATAATAGATATTTTTTTTTCATAATATATAATCTTTATGCAAATCAGACCCTTTACCTGCTCACAGTGAATGATTCAATTTAACAACTTTTCTACAAAAGTTAAATATTTTAGACTTAAATTTTAAAAATGCTCCGGAAATACTCAGAGCATTATTCATATGTTAAAATAAAGCTTATATTATGTACTTTATGTTTACCTATCTTGTGGTATATTTTTTTGAAAATCTGACCCTTTACCTGTCTACGAAAAGGAATAAAAATTACAACTTTTGCATAAAAATTCAACTTTTTGTACTTAACTTTTGAAAAACATCTTCAAATACTGACACTAACATATATATTAAATGAATGTTTATGTAATATACTTTATTTAAAAAAAAATTATGTCGTGAAAAAAGAAATCATAATTCAAGAAAAAAGTACAATATTTTTATAAGAATTGGAGAATTCATTATAATTTAATAAATTTTTGTACAAAAACTTATTTAAAATTGTTTTTTAGAAATTAATGAAAACTTCACTAGCATATTAAGAAAGAGGGTTTTAATCGAAAATATTTATTTTTAACTTTAGACTTATATAACTTAAATAATTAAATAATTTTTAAAAAGAGATTTCTTGTTTAATTTTATACGTTTTTCAAAATCATGAAAAATAGATTATATGAATTTAACTTACATTGAATATAAGTTAAACTTATTTTTAATCTTTTGCTTCTTTTAAGTGGAAAAAACGACTTTGAAACTTTTAACTAGCTTAAGTTGTCCTTTTTATTTACAGAAAAATTCAATGTACAATTTCGTGTCGGTAACGCTTATATCTTTCATGCTTGGGGTACTAGGTTTGTCCACGCCCGTCGCAATGACTTTTTTGCACTTTTTTCTTAATTCTTTAAAATCTTTAGTAAAATTTTTATCATATTTAAGTTTAATTTATCAAAATTCAATAGATGTCAAGAATCCTATCACTGTATTTTCACCTCATGAGTACGAATTTCTTATTCGAAATAAAATTATTTTACTGTGCAGGTTTTTTTTTGTCTTCGTTATTTTATGAGCTCTCAGTTGTCCAATTTTTTTCAACGATATTTCAGGTAATCACAGCTCGTATCTAGTTAAAGACAGCACCCTCAAAAATGTTAAAAAATTTCCACTTTATCAATGAAAATATTACTCAACCCACTTTCTCCATTTGGGCAAATAAAATCATTAATTTCTAATTTTATAAAAGTATTTATTACTGAATTGAATTTGATATTAAATAGGTTTTCCTCAACAAAGTTAAACAATTTCACTTTGTGGTTTATTAATTTTTTGACTCTATTTGTATGGTCTTAGACCAGTCTATAGAATTCTAATTCTTTTTGGTAACATGTATAAATACTTTCTGAAAAAATTATTTTGAGTTTTCCCTAAATTTAACAATGGATTTTCCAAGTATAATGAATTTATATAATAAGCTTAATTTAGTAGATTTTTTAACATCCTTTTGTTTGGATTTTTCTGGTTCAATGCGAAGCTAAGAAAGTGTTGGTCTTGTGATGCCGTGCATTTTTTTTATGTCTGTTCATAAAAATTCACAGCTCTCATTGGACTGATTTTAAAGGGCAATACGTCAATAGAACCCAATTTTATTATAGTTGAACTTATAGTCACTATATATTGAAAAAAACCCAGCACAGGAGGGTCGCGGCACAGTGGTGACGTGGCATAGTTGGATCAAGTATAATGATATCTGACAGTGATTAAAATCACTATCATAAAAAACGCTTCGATGCAAATCTTTTGATAGTGTTTAATTTTAAAAAATTATTGGATTCTTCTAAAAGCTACATGATCTGCTATTTCCTTATTAATATTCTGATTAAGATAAACTATGTCGAATGGAAAAGGGATTATTAAAAAATATTATTTCTCATAAAAAAATTGTGTTGATCTATACATTTTTCAATAAGTTATAGCATTATAAAGTTAAAAATGTAAAATATAAAATCGAGAATTTTAACACAAAAATAGCATTGTGTAGCCATTTTCACCGTGAAGATAAAATAAAGTCCGAAATTTTTTTTTCGTATAATTAAGTAAATTACATTAGCTATAATTTAAGATATATATAAAAGTGTCAGACTTTCCGGAACACTTTCAAAAGTTAATTTTTGTGAAAAAGTTGTCATTTTATATCCCCGTCTATGGGCAGGTAAAGGTCAGATTTATAAAAAAAATATACCAAATGATAGGTAAAGATATCAAGCATCTATATAAAAAAAATTATATTGATTTATTTATTTTTGAATAAGTTATGGCAGTTTTAAGTAAAAAAAATTGAAAAAATTTCGAAAATTAGCCATTTTCAATTTGTAATTTTTTTAGAGGTTTCTTCCATTTACGGAGAACGAGGGAAATATTTTCAATTTTTGAGGGTAACGTCTTCAACTAAATACGATTTGTGATCTTTTGATGAATTATTGTAAGAAATCAGTTCGGTGAGAGCTGAAAAAAAGTGGTAACAGACACAAAAAAAAGACATTATAGTAAAACTAATATCTTCTCAGCTTCGCATCGAAGCTAAAAAATACCTTAAATTTAGATATTTGTCAAATATTATTTAAAATTACGCAACTGTAAAAAACGACATTCTCCAAAAAAATATTCTACGTTTTAAAACTGCCATAACTTTTTTTAAAAACACTGATTTTAGGAAATTTTAATAGAGTATTCTAGATAAAATATTCTCTCATTAGGTATGCTTTTATGATAATCCAATGAAAAACCTAAGTACAAAAAGGGTTTAAAAAAGATCACTTAAGCATAATAAAAATTTGTATTTAATTTCTTCTAAAACTGTTATCAGATTTGTATTGTTTCGAGGATTTCACATAAAAAGCAGGCGATTTTTATGCGAATTTCTCACTCTGCTTGATTTTTTAGTACTAAATTTTGTTTTATTTATTAATTATGAAGTATTTTTTATGTGCATTCCTTATAAGGGTGTCATTTTTATTTTATAAAATAACAATATACATAATTAACTAATTTATTTATTAGATAATGATTTAATAATGAAAATGACTGGTTTAATAACAACTTTTGGACCAATATATCAGAAGTTTTTAACATTGTTATACCTAGGTGGGAGGAGTGATGCTGAGAAATGTTTAGTGGTAAAAATATCTGCGCGTTACTTTCAGTTCTTATGTTAAATTTTTATAATTATGAATATAAATATCGTATTTATTAAAATTTTCCGTGAGACAACCAATAAATAATTGTATAATTCACCAATCATTGTTATTTTTTAATAACCATAATAATACTTGAAAAATAATTATGTAAATTCTGGTAATAAAACATTAATGTAGAACAAAATTAATTTAACTACAACATTTAATGAATATTTATAATATTGGCGTTAGAGGCTCGTCATCTATTGCTTTTAATTCCAAATCTAAATTCATAAAAAAAATTGAATAAGACATTGATATTTTAACTAATATATATTTATTTTAAATACCTATTTTAATTGGTCCCTTTCGTGTTGTTATAAAAGTTTCTTCGGTAATTGGATCAAATTTAAATCCGAATTCCATATACTTTTCTATAATTACTGTTCTAATATAACCCTTAATTTTACTAGTTATGAATTTGAAAAACCGTAATTTTTGACCTTGATCCTTAATGGCTTTATACTCTCGAGAGCATTCATTCCATAAATAATTCGCATCATAAGGTACAAATGTACAATAAGCCGATGTTTCATAGTGCACATCGACTATTATACTTTTAAAAAATATGTCTATAGTATTTATTGTCCAAGAGTATGTATTTATATTGTTACGTGATAAATCTCGTACTTTTAATTTGTCAAGAATATTTCCTATATTCCCTAATAAAGAGCTTATGTGATAGTTGTCAAAAATAGATGCCAATGGAATAGTATGTAATAAATCTAAAGCATCAATGGCTCCTTTCATCAATGTTGTCACAGGAATAATTAATTTGGTTATAATGATTATGAGTTCTTCTGTGCAAATTCTTCCATTTATTAAGTCTTTTTCTTCAAACAATTTTTTTTTACAATATTGTAGAATGTTGCTAATAATACAAAAAAGTATATTCATAACTTTTCCGTATATACATCCAAGAAATAGAGTCAAAATTCGTATTTTTTTATTACATTTAAATCGATCTGTAGGTATTACAATCAGATTTTTAAGATAATATGTTTTATCGCGAAATATTATTGATTTCATATCATTTGATTTAGTCCATCCCGAATGCACTAAAAACTCATCAAATTCAACCACTGTTTGTCGTGAAATATTTCTTTTTGTTTTTGCGTACAGAATAAATGATAATAATAAAAAAATAAACTTGAAAAATTTTAATGAAAACATTGGAATATAAGTAACGATAAAAATGATTGAAATTTTTTATTCAAAATATAATATGACTATATATATTAAAAGACACGTATATCTTATGTTCTACAATTATAAAAATAAAATAAACATAAATGCTAAAACATCTGTCATATTATAATACTATTCGTTAATTTTTTTTGAGTTATTCATTTTACTAAACATTTACTGACAAATATTTAATTTTAAATTAATTTTTTCTAAAATTAACTAATAGACGAATATATTTAAAATAGTTTTCAAAAATTATTATATGTTAAATTTTTACATTTCAAAGTTAATGTTTTAACATTTACATATTATATTTAATTATTCAAAAATACATTTCAATAAATAATTAATTATTTTTAATAATGATAGAAAAATCTCTTTTTAAAAATATTATGTTTTTATTAATTTTAAATACAATAAGTAAATTATTCATTCTGTAATAAATAAAGTCCAATGTTTAGAAAATTATTTGAAAACAGAGTAACGCAATTTAATCACTAAATCAAAAGTTATATGATTTTTAATAAATGTTTTAAATTATAAGTTGAAAATTGATTATGTTTCACATATAAAAGATCTGGGTATATGGGTATTAAGTAATTTTTCTTTTAATTTTCAACTTGAGGTTAACATTTAAATGTTTGGAATCTAAGTCAGAGTAGTTTAATTGAAAGCTTAACAAGAAAGACAAGAAAATGTGCAAACAAAATTTATTAAAATGTTTTTTATAAAATAAGAGTTGGAAATTTAACAAATAATGAGATAATGAAATGTCATAACATAGAATCACTTGAGATTAGGAAGAAATATCTAGATGTTACGAAGCTCTTCAATTTGTTGGATAATAAGATAAATGTTAGAAATATATTTGTTTAGAAATATATAAATTTTATGTTCCGAGACAAAATTTACGAAACTCAAATTTATTTTCCATAATTTTGTTACAATAATAGTGCGAAATTATTGAATCGTTTAATGTCTGTGGAAAATTGAATGATTCTAATTTTGATTTTTTTTCATATTACATGTGCTCAAATAAGTTCTTTTTTAGACAAGTTAATGCTAAAAAAATTATTATTGTACTTCTGTTTTAATGATGTAATTTTTTTATCTATTAATCATATATATTCAAAAAAATAATTAAATGTGTCATATTTAAGGAGTAATGGATACGAAGCACACACAAAAATAAAATATCCTCTTTGTAAGCACAAGTGGGAAAACATAAAAATTATAATGTCTCTTTGTTTTAAGATTTCTTTACTATTTTGCTGCAATTTGTTAATTATTAGTAAAATATATTTTTTTAATTTTCCGTATGTACAGTAAAGACATATATATGGACAAGGCTCATACTTTAGGATTGCATTTACCTTTATTTTATTAGTTTATCAATTAATTATTTTTTAATTATTACAATCATAACGTCTTAAGTAATAATTTTTAATCACAATTAACATGAATGTACGCGCACGCGTGTACCAATGAAAAACAAAGTATACAAGCATGTTTAATGTTAATAATTATGTGTTATTAGATGTGATTTATTTTGAGAAATATTGAATTTGTCAACTTACCCATTCTTACCTTATTCTATTTTACATATGAAGATTATAATTTATACTCCAAAATAAGTCTGATAACTCATTATTATCAATAATAAAATCGTGATTTGTATCAGTTTAAATATCATTGATATTGTACTTCCATTAATTACTATTACGAACAATAAAAAATACTCAATTTTTATTGTTTCATATAAAAGCTTAGACACAAAACCCATATTTTTAACATTTTAAAAATTTCAACCTCTTGAAAAATGTCTGAAAATTTCAATAAATTAAAAATTTTAACTGAAAGTTCAATAAATTGATACCGTAAAGCAATTTTTTAGCGGCCACGTAATATTATCATTCTACTAATTGGAAAAACCATTTCTAAACGCTGCTTAGAAAGTTGATTAGAGATATTAAGGTTAGAATAGTTTGAAAACTTATAAGAAAACGCTAAACAGCTTCAACAGCCATTGTATGATATTTATTTATTTCATGTTTTAAATCTTTTTTTCTGAGTAATTTATAAATAACTGTGTTTGATTTTTTGGCGAACCTCTTAGAAAACATATTGGTTTGAAATCTTTTGCATTAATCTAAATTAATAATGTAGAAATAAAAATTTAAGTCGCACTTTAAAAAATATACGTCTAGACATATTTTACTAAATGAAATTAAATATTTTAGCTTTTTCTACTCACTTAAATAAACAAAATGTCTACTTTAAATTCATAAAAATAATTAAACATCGTGTTTTCATCTTTTTATTATAAAAATTAATATTAAAATATTGTTACATAGTAATGAGATTATAATCCTATGTACAACATAAGATTTCATTCTGAATCACTTAATACAAATTACTAGTGCTGAAATAGGTAATTACCTGGCATATTAATTTCATAATAAAATAAAACTATTTTTACATTTTAAAAGTAAAATACTTACCATTTTTTTATGAAGTTCATGTTAGAAGCTACACATAAATATGAAATGAAAATTAATGACACAATTGTATAATAATATAATGATAAAACCAAAATCCTGATAAGAAACAATACATTTTAATACCAGTCGTCGATAAAAAAGTAATAAATAATAATAATCTATTTTAAATGTTTTGTCCCATTCATATAAAGTGGTCTGTTCTTCTTCCATCATGTAGTCGCAAATATGATAAAACGATAATATTTTTCATCGCTATTACTAGATAACCAAATACATCAATATAAATGTAAGATGTATTATTGAAAAAGGGAGAAATAGAACAAAAAAAAGCTTCTGTGCTTTAAAGATATAGGTATTCAAATATAAATGAAGCGTTTTGATTTGAGGGTGGTCGTAGAATCCATAACCCTCCCCTATGTATAAGTATATTAAAAACTGTAACATCAAGTTATAATCACAGTTTCTAAGCTTTCAATTCATCTTTATAGACCTAGAGTTTAAATTTTGAAATAATTTATACCAAAAGTTTACACATTACAAAACAATGAATTTATAATATTACAACCTATTAAAATTATTTTCCATTCGTCTTAAGGACAATAAAAGTTAAACTATACCCATCAACATGAGAACCTATGTATACATACAAATATATCTATTTAAATTGTATTGTCCTTTAAATTTTCAGTACCTCAAGTTAAATAAATGTACAAATATTAAAGATTAATTATTAATTAAAACTTAGAACTCACTTATACTATTGTGATGTTTGATCAACCTACTACCCACGGTGTTTAGTGATAAGCGTTGTTGCATATGCATTACAATCATAATGTCCATCAGTTGTTGTACAGTAGTCATAGTGCAAACGTCATCTCTTTCTGCATTGAATCAAAATCGTAAATAAACATGCATCTTAAAGTATTTGTATTTTATTAAATAATGTTATATAAACATAACAACTATATATGTACAGTATATAATAGATCTATAATTACATTTCGCTATAATTATTATTCTTTAATATTTATTGCCTTTTTAGACTATATCTAAAGCATATTTTTAATTAGTGATTACTAAATAAAAATAATCTTTATTTAATTTTTTTAATATTTCAAAATTGCTTTTTTTTAGTTTTTCATACAAAAAATTTTGATAGTTCGGTATCAGCATTAGGATAAGTACTTATTCAGTTAGAAGGATTTTAATAAAATTAATGGTATTTAACACAGGCAGAGTTTACGCATATCAGTACGAACTGCACTTACCCGCGAACCATACCCACTCTATAAATTAAAAGGTTTGTAACTCAATAAGTAATTACACTAAAGTTATTATCAAACCATCGAATTTTTTGATAGAAATACTTTTAAAAAAGCAGCTATTTTGAAATTTTGAAAAAGAAAATTGTTTATATTTTGTATTTCATTATAAGTAATATTCAAAATATGGTTTTAACGTACTCAAAGAATTCAACAATTCTTAAATATAACAACAACAAAGTTATAAAATTCATCATTTGTAACTGTTACAAGCTTTAAATATTTTCTTTATATAACCTTGTAACAGATAAAATGTGTTTTTTCATTATTTATTTTTAATGTAAGAAAATATTATTAATAAGCGCCAGATAAAAATATGGGAAATATGTGCACAGAAATGTATGTAAAATATAAAAATTGTACAAAAAAAATAATATATATATATAAAATCTGTACATTACCAAACGCCACGATTTTTAATCAAAATTATTCTTGCTAGATATTAAAGAATATGTATTTGCATAAAAACTTGGGTCTTAATTATTAATAATATAAATTTAATTACAGCCGTATTTAGTTCTAATAAATTCATAAACATAAAAATACATATTTAAAACGAGTTGCAGTTATTATGTTTTAAATAAAAACCATTATTTTTTTGTACATATTTTTCGATAAACGTTAAACGAACCATTTCCATTATCAATTTAATTAGCGTGTAATATTTTTGGCTCTGATACGATAACGTTAGGGTTAAATACCAAGCAACCCACTCAGTTTATGTACGCCTTCCGACCGAAAAGCCGCATTGGACTACTGCAAACATGCTAATAACGGTATAATAAATTAATCGATGGCCACTTACATCTCCCAAAGATTACCTGAATTAACTAGAACAATTTAACATTCTCCTCTCCAGAAACGGTCGCCTATTATTACAGCCAAATATTATTCATGCTTTCTTATTTGGATAAAGGGCGTATCGCCATCAAATTATCTAAATGCAATAGTATTATAATCCATAATAAGTTTAGCCTATGTATTATATGATTATTTTTAAATAACTGGTAATTTTTGTTAGTTTAATATTCATTAATTATAATTATTTAAACTTGAACTTGATCTATTTACTTTATTTGTAAGATAATTTGTCTTTTACGTTTTAATTACTATTAACAAAACTAAAAAATAATCAAAATTATAAAAAAAATGTACTTTTAGAGACCTATATTATCCTATTAATTTTTACATATTTTGAGACTATTGTTTTGAAAATCGAAACATCATTTCGTACACTTGTATGTCACATAATGCATCAAACAATTTTGTTTTTTTTAAAGATCCACCGTGTTTATTATATTTTTTATCAACTACGTAATGTAATTATTGTATATATTTTTCTGTAACTTTTGCTCGATTTGGGCGTAATTAATAATAATAATAATAAAATCAAAAAATATTCGTATTAAATTTTGGATTATATTTTCGGTGAAATAGAGAATTTATTTTAAAATGTTGATGAATTAATACAACTTAATAGAGCATCTACATTACAATTTATAAATCTCAAAAACAAAATTCTTATTTAATAGGCTTACTGTTCATTCATCAGATGGTTAACTAAAATTTAACGTACCACCTAAGTCAATTGATATACTAATCTTGATCCAAAATAGTTGCAAGTCATAATATTGTAGATATTTATAATCTGCAAATTCATTTATAACAATTTATGGCAATACTTTTTTTAATTGGTTTTTAATCCATATAATTTACAAATTTCTACAATTATCATTTTTTACTTAGATCCCTAGAAGTAATTATATTAATAATTATCAAAAATTAAGCCTAAGTATGCAATTACTTTGCATAATTATTTAAAAGAAAGAGCAGGCGCAATGTATATGCAATTTAGGTACACCGCAGTCATGAATCCTCATCCATAAAAGTTGGCGTAAATCATAAAATAGCTTTTAACTATTAATCTTATTTTATAATGTACAGCTATGATAAACCTTTTATTATTGTATATTATTTTTGAGATGATTTTTGTTTACTTTTATAAACAACTTTATTAAAACAACATAAAGCAAATTGATTACATTATAAGTTGCTTATAAAATAGACAATTTATAATGAACAAATTGTAACATAATTATCTAGCTTCTAGTAAAACATTAAGGGTTGCTAGAATTAATTACATTACCGTTATAAAAATGAATGTGATCTTTTCAAATTAAATAACGTGGTGTATAGAGAAAATTACATTTACTTATGTACAGAGTGTTCCATCATGATTTACTAATTTGACTATATGAAATAATGTTTAAAATAGTAAATCACGGTGGGACAACCTAAATAAACAAATGTTATGTAAATATATTTTTAATAACTTAATGTTTACAGTTTTTAATATCAGCGTATTTTTTTATATAAGATAATAGTTTAGACCAGACAATTGCTAATCTATGATTTTTTATTTCTAATTATAAAATGACGTTTGTTTATAGAAATTTAAATTGATCATTTTAGTTAGTCTATTTAAAATTCATCCATTTCAATTTATTTTATCAATATTAATTTACAAATCTTAATATTCATATAAAATTTTCTTTGCTTAGATTTAATGATAATTTTTTTCTCTAAAATTAAAGCAAAATACATATAAATAAGTTTTAAAGACCAAAAATTAGTAAGAGTAAAATATTTTTCTTTTATATATAAAAAAAATTGTATATATACATAAACGCAACTAACCATTTTTTTTTCTAAAAGAGTATTCTTTTATATATTTTTTCTAACGATTGATTTCTACCTGTTGAAAAAGGTTAGATATGCGTCTGAATATTCGAATTAGAATTTCAATAAAACATTTAAATCTATTGAATGCAAAAAAGGTTTTAAAAAATCTGCAATTGCTTCAATCGAGTTCATATGACATTACAAATAAATTGATTTCGGTACTAAGATTCTTATAGTTAATATTTATTTATAAAATTTATTAAAAACAAAATATGTTACTCTTGTTTAAATCTTAATTACTTAACTTCTTTTTTATTTGTATTGATGGGAATGTTATTAAAGATGTGTTTAAACGATTGTTATGATCATCAATTTAAATTTCTTAACTATAGTGGATATTATGAATATATAAATATATACTTTGTATTAACATTATTTCATTTTCATTTTGTATTTCTTTGAATAAATGTTTATCGTATTGCGGCTAAATGTTTTGAAAAACTCGTCATTTTTCCATATGAATTTATTCGCAAAAATTCACTGAACCATAAGAATAAATGCTATCAACTAAGAAGTGTTTAAATCCTTTTTTGCCAAAAAAAAAACATTTCCGCTGAATTAACCCAAATCATGTTCTTTACTATTTTTTTTACTATAAAATTTTAGTGTATACTAACATGTTTTCGAATATGTTTTCTGATTTTAGAATACGTGTGATCCGAAGTGAAAAAACCAACTGGAAAACATTAACAAAACAGCGATATATGTTACAGTAACAATAATTTGTAAATAAAAAAAAACATAAATTTTATAATTGTTAATATTGTTAATACTTATTTCACTATTGTTATTTTATCAGAAACATTAAATAATTGTATAGTTAATGATTATGTATAGATGAAATTTATTATATACACTGTAAAAATTCATTGTTAAATTTTTTTTATCAATATTTGCCTAATAATAGTTTTTTTTTTGATTCAACAAAATATTTCTTAATTTAATAACTTTTTTATTCTTCTAACAAAATTAACGGTTAAATAAACAAAAAAAAAAAGATTCATTATTCAATAACTTTATAGGACGTTGTTTGATAATGCATTTGTTAATAAAATCGGAGGATTTTTTTTAATGTAATGATATAAATACTAGTCGTATATTGATGCACTATTTATTTTATTACTATAAACATCAAGTCGGTTTTTGTGTATACAAATTAAATCTAAAATACTGAAAACCTGAAAAATTGTAATAAAGAAAAAATTCTTTAAAACGGTTCTAAATATATAATATTTATTTTATCTAAAAATCAAAAAAATTATTTTTTTAAATAAAACAAAAAAAATATGAATAAGTTTTTAATGACATATCCGACACAAATATTTTTTATGAATTGTACTTTTTCAATCGTATTTTTTTTTAATTGACTGTTAATCGTAACAAAATCGAATAATTTTTAAAATCTTATAGTAGTATTATTAATAATTCATGTAGCCAATGACACCGTCCTAATATAAATAACTAAAGAATCAATCCATTATCTGAAGAAAAATAAACTTAAAATATTGAAATACGATTATTTTTTACATTAATTTTCAGTAAATACGAATTGAATTCACTGAAAAATAATGTTAAAATGCAATTAGTAAACAAAATCAAAATTTTCCTAACAACGTTTAAAAAAAATAAAATTATAATTTCATTTTAACCAACAAGAACACTACTTATAAAAGCCTTTTTTATATTTAATATTCATTGAGTTAATAATGTTTCAAGTTACATGTATTTAGTTTGTCATAACATCTTATACACTCGTATGTTAAGACAGAGAAATGTGGCACAATATTATTTTTATCTTCGACCTACGTGCAATACTCAATACTGTTCTCTTTCTAACGACATAGTTTAATTTCTTGAAGTTTTGAAGTGCTCGAATTTATATTATCCAATAATATTTAAAAAACGGTATAAATATTTTTAGTTTTCATTTCTATTATTTATTAAATTTATCTCTCTCGGCCTAAAATTTATAATTAAACTTGAGTTTAGTACTTTTACTTTTGGTTTTATGCCTAACGCCGTGTTAAAAATTAACGTTGTTGAATTTATTCGTTATTTTTGAAATGATTAACTTGTATAATTGTACAAATATTTGTAAATTTTAAAGTTGCTTTTTTATGATAATATTGTTCACGTTTTAGATTTGTGTCTGATTGCCTTTTTATTCTAATAAATGCTACCGTTATTGTTTAAAACTATGTAAATAAATAAAGTGAAATGTCAAAATATTGACTCAATGTTTTTATTCAGTTGTCCATATAATGGATAATTTGTGTTTTTTCGAGGCGCAGTCGTTTATTTTTAACTTGAATTTTACGAAATCGTGTCACGTGGTTTGGAATGGATTGCATTTTGATTTTTCATTTACTATTAGTGAATTTTTTCCCGTCAAAAAGAAAATCGTTCTCTGGGTAATGTTTAATCGAATGTTTCGTACAATCGAAACAAACTTAATTTACTAAGTAGTTCGGAACCAAATAGTTCGCGTAGTACACGTACAGGATGCAATAATTCGTCGATTCGCCCGTCAACAGTATCACCGTCGGCGACATCCATTGAGTAGGGGGACACATACACACACGTCTTAACCCACAGGGTTATATTTATTTTTAAACTCGGGGCGCTAACGGATCTACTGCCGCCGCCGCCGGCCGGCGACCATTTCGACGTGCGACACGTACCGACCAAGTGCCACGCGTGCCATTGTAAGTGCCCGACCGGATAGGACACTCGCGCCGGTTGGGGTTCATCCGGCCAAGTACGACCCCTTATTACCTTGTCCGGTAAGTTTCTCTGTGCGACTAACCGGTTGAAATACCAAACGTGATAACTAACCTGATCGGTGGAAAACACAAGGAATTGCAGTAATAACTTTTCTTCGTTTCACACCACGAGGTAAGCGGTTCATTATTTATGCCAGTCCTATTAAACTTGAAACGTTTTTATTCCATTACTCGGTTGGTGACCTAAACATATAAAACGAGTATAAATTCTGATTCGCCGTTTAATGCGATAAAATATGAATTTAATGAAAAAAATATTTACTTTAAATATGACTTTTTTTTTTATTATTAAATAAGAAGATATATTTCATCCTACTACTTCTTACTGTAATTTTTTTCAAGTATAAAAATATACGCGTCATAAATCATATCTACACAAAAAATAGAATCCTTTTCAGTTAACATTAATATACTACACGCTTTCTTTAACAAACTGCTTTCTAAAATATATCCTATTAAATAAATAGGCGACATATTTCTTTTAAATAAGACGACAACTGAAAATAAATCAATAGTATATTAAAATTAATCAACAGTAGTGGACATAAAATTATAAAAAAAAAAGGCATTCCCATAGTGCCGTATTTACAGGGGTCATAAAAATTTGGATGTAATGGGGTGTCCCAGTAATCTTTTTATTTCATCATGTAATACATATGTATATATATATATATATATATATATATAGAAATTGATTTATAGAATTGGAAAAAAGTATTTATTTCAAGAAAATAAAAATAAAACATAACTCCCAAGACAAAATTCTTAGTTTACTTAGATTTCTTAGTGTTTTAATTACATTTGTCGTTGTTCTGGAAATGAACCTTATAAGCTTAATGAAAAATTATATAGCTCTACTGGGTTTTTTATTATTTTTTTTCCCCCAAAAATTATAAAAAATACAAGCATTTGACATTTTATTTGACATTGAATGATTTTAATGAACCCATAAACTATATTATGAATTCAATAATAAAAATATCCGCAAAAAAATAAAATATTTTTTTTATATAAATTTATAAAGAATTCCAGAAACAAAAGTAAAACGTCATATTTCATGAAATGACATCTGTTGTTTTATTTTATTAGTCACGCGTTTTTTCAACATCCGTTTGTATTTATATCGTTTCCGTTTTGAATAATTAGACATCAGAAAGCACTTGAAGTGTGTCGTTTGAACTGGGTAATCAAAGCTTAAGTATTAACTTTAATCGCAAAATTATATTGATTCGTAAGGCAATATTAAATGATTATTTATAAAGAAGTATTATACACGTTAAATTTAATGAAATAAAATAGTTGTGTATTTTAATTCAATACGCATTTAATTCACTATTAAAGCGTTTAATTAAAAGCAATGGTGTTCATAAAAAAAACCTGAACGAGACGATAAATCGAGATTTTTAATCATCGATTAGATTTGCTACTAGCGATAACAAGACGATAGTTTTGTAATTGGTTTTATTGGTTTGTCATGACACCAAACAATGTCTCGACACGATATAATTTATCAGCATACGTTATGTGACGTACATATTCTATCATCATGCAGATAATCTATTACTGATTATATTGCGCGTGAAACGGAATGAGGCATATTAGTCCGCCGTACATTAAACCAAACGCAGCTCGAGGGATGTATTGTAGTAAACGCATAGTTTATTGCAAATGAAATTGTTGTTTGTACCTTCTCGTACACGAGTATTGAATTTCCGGTCAATTATTCTTACTACTCACAATCAGCAAGTTAAAACCGTTCAACTTCGAACACATTACAATGCACTGTGTGCGTTCAATCAATTATTGTACTAAAAAAATATCGACATACGTTTACTGTATTGTAACTTATCAATTTATTGGTAGGAATGATTAACTTCTATTATTATAATTATTTTTCATAATTTTTATTTGACATCATAAACACATAGAGAAGAGTATCACCGAACAAACTCGTTCATCAGCGTTCTCGCGGTAGGATGCGACACGGGAGATAGAAAACGCCATAACAAAAATAATAATATGGCGATAGTTAGAGATCCGGGATTGCATGCATGTTGCATTTTTTTAGGGTTATCATAGACGATGCTCTCCAAGCACGAATTTCGATTTATGTAACGGAGAACTTCCAATTAAACTTTTATTTTGCATTTTTTTACACTTTATCCATTTATAAAAACATTTATTTTCAACTATTTGGTAAATAGTTTATATTATATTTATATTTATATTTTTATATTATTAATAGTATATTAAATTATTAATTTATTAGTTTGATTAATTTTTAATATGATTCGTCCTTTTACAGTAAATGTATGAATATTTTTGAAAAATGTCTCGATTTAAAAAATAATAATTATCATTATAAAAAAATAATTATCAAACGAAAAGGGTTAAAAAATTATCATACAAAAATAATGCAGTTATAATATAATCACCATACATTTTTAGCTGTTTATTAACTTTACTATATGTGAACATTCACAAATATGCTTGTTTATAGACTCACATAATTTTATCCTATTTTTGACTAAGTGCCTTTTAAAGCGTTTGCATTAAACACATGCCATTCATTGTGTGCATGCACTACATAACAAACTATAATAAAAACTCATGAATTATTTCAATGAAATTGTCATCTTGTATGTAATGATAAGATTAATGTCGCAAATACAAAAATTGTATATTTAAATTACTCAAATGATAATGAGTTTATGTTATTATTACTAACTTCGTTATGTAAGGACCATTGAAAAATGATTCTTTATATGATCAAATATTTCTTTGTGTCGCGTTTGATATTTATAATCCTGTGTAATAAAATCTTAAAAACAAAAATATGACTGCATGGGAAACATAAATTTCGTATGCTTGCACCATAATGATGCACAGTCTTTCTTCATGAGATACTTATAATTCATCCTTTATATTTCCCAACAAAATCGTGTTTTTTCATACATACAATTTTCATCCATTTTAATAGCCGAGATTTAAGGTATCGTGGAATCAGAGTTATAAATATTCTACAAGAGTAAAAGTTTAAAATAGATCAAAACTAAAAAAAAATTCATTATCAAAGTATTACATTTTGGCTATGATTTTTTCTTAATGTCTTTAAAAATATATAATGTATTTTCAAATAATTTGCAAACCGTAAAAAGCTTTAAAACGATTATTCTTAATTATTAAAACAGGTCGGATTTGCAAATTCAATGAAATAAATATATCAACGAATACAAAGCTATACGATGAAACAAAAAGTTGATTAGAATACCATGAAAACGAGTAAAATATGTGTTATCGTGTCAACTTAGTAATATGGATTACATTAACGTGTCATCGTTTTACCCAATACATCATCGATGGTATTAACAACAATATTCAAATCAGATATGAGTACGCCATAAATAAACATATTTTATGTACTTGTATAAGTATATGAAATGATGCATCAACAGTTAGATGACAATTTATTTTAGTTTGTAATAATGTATTGTATACTTTTGTATATTCTTATATTCGTTATAATGTATACTCGTCATAAAGCTCATACAACACTAGGTGAAGTTACGTTTTATAAGAGCCCACTTTCAATCTTATTTCGTATGTGTGTGTGTGTAAAAGTGTTACTAAAAATTTTAATTTTTTATTCAATGAATTTCAACGTTATTCGTTAATTTCGTTCCCTGACAAAAATGTTATCCCTTTTTAATGTATATTATAAGTAGTATTGACAAATCGAGTCATTTTTCCTAGTCATAAACTAATCAATTTCTCTTAAGTATATATAATTCTGCCATTTTTCCATATGAGCTGCTTAATTTGTAAAAGATAATTGAAAAAAAAAATATGCGTTAATACATTTGTAAATAATATCAAGTAATTGGACAACACAAATTTGAAAATAATTTTTGCTTTAACTTATGAAATTTATTTAGCTCAATAGTTTAAAATTGTTCACTTTAAAATATTTTACATGTTTATCCTTACGCTTTGCAAAAATATTAAATACATATTAATATATAAAACATTACATTTTCATCCTAAAGAAGAAAAATATAACAACTAAAGACTAGGATTACTCTGAAAAGTTCAAATTTGGAGTGTTTAGTTTGTTAAAATCGTTTCGGTTAGTTGTCAAACAACTGTATTGTCACGTACACGGATCATGTTTTAGGCTATTGCGATGGTCTGATATTGTACTAACCAAAGACCTTTCTCACTAAGTTTAGTACATAATTAATATTTAGTCATTCACCTTTTTTCATTTAACAATCCTGAATAATCAATGCACTTAATAAAAAAAAAATACTGACTACTATAAATTATAACTAATGTAAATTTTAGAAACTCTAAAAATGCAAGTCTATAAATTTCTTTTATATTTTTCAATCATTTAATTTTTTTTTTTAACTCAGTATTAATTTAGATATTCAGTTTAAAAACCTTTAACATTCACCGGAAATGTATGGTCGTCGAGTAATGCATGTTACAGACAAACATAACATATATATATATAAGAACACCAGAGTAGTTCTCTATTTATGGACATGTCTGTCTATGCGAAGATCATCAACCCTTTTATTATTTGCTCCCAAGACAGCACCCAAGTGTTCATAGTCGACGACGTACGTTAGCCGCGACTGAATCAATTTTTAGTATGCAACGATTACGCCAAGGAGAAGTGTTAAATTACTATTTAAAATTATTACTACATGCTACAAGTAATATGCTACAAGGCAGTGAAAATATAAACTGAACATTTGATTTGTTAGATTTATGATAGTTTAAACATTAGTAATAAAATAATGATAATATTCAACAAAATAAAAAAATGTTTAACTTTTTAGAATTATTGGAAAATCTTGTGAAAAGTATTAGTGTGTGCAGTACAAGCAAACATTAACGAAGGTCGTAACGTCGCTTGAATAATATTTTTGTTTATTCAATAAATATACATTTATATATATATATCGGTCGAGTTGAGTGCTTCTTTTTCAAAGATTTAAAAAATATAAAATAATTTCCATTTTACTTTATTTATTTATTGTTTACATGTTTTATATTTAAAGCTATAGAGTAGTTATGGTGCCCTAAAAATTTTATATATAAAATCTAATTTTTTTTACCTAAACGAAGCATGTGATTTATAAAGTTTAAAACGTGTTTTGAAAATTAATGAAAATATGGAATTCACTTACTTCAGTGAGAGTAACAACTTTTCCATGGACTTTCGTTCAGAATCTTGTAAAGTAAACTCAATTAAATGGTTTACAAAATCATGTTAAATTTTAACAGTTTTTCTTTGATAATGTCTTTGTTGTATAAAACAATAAAAAATAGCTGTATACGAAGTAAAATATATTTGATATTTAAAAAATAGAGAAGGTGTGTATCGATATGTAAATAATTTAAATTGTATTAAAAAAAAAAGAAGTCATTAAAAAATATTTTATGGTAAATACTTTCATGAATGTTAAATAATACTAATACCAGTATTTGATTTTATTCAGAATTTCAAAGGAACACAATTATAACTTAAATTGAAAATGTCAAAACTTATGACTTCCAACAATGATGGTGATGTTAGAGTAACTTGATAATATCTAATTGTGGCCATTATAATTCGCCAGATTGCTTAATCTATTCTCAGTTATTATAGTAAACAAGAGAAAATGAAAATGTAGTTTGTTCAATAGCTAAACATTAATATGAATTATTAAATAATTAATCAAAAGTAGTTTTCACAAAATATCTTATTAGGAATATTAACGTCTTGCAATTTTACTTTCTAAGAATATTTTATACGGTTAATTTACGAGTACAACTCGCCCATTATAATTCTCATACTTTTAGTAGGGTAGTTAGATAAGCCTTTGGATAAAATTGACATAGTTTATCATCTTCTCATAAAACTTGTTTACATCGCTTACTCATGAGTGCTTTACTCAAGTTTCTACCCATTTCAAAATTTATTATTTATCTATTGAGCCGATAATAGTACAGCAAGTATCATATACATGCTGTACTATAGGTCTTTCACCGTAAAAAGTATTGTTGCGCAAAAGGCCTAGGGTAGTTTTCTAACTGTAGAACACCTAAGAATGTAAAATAGAAAGTAATCATTTATAATACAAAACTACCTTTAGAAATCATTTTTTTTTTATATGTATAATAAACTTAATATTTACAAAAAAAAATTTTTAAATCATCCTCTTTATATTATGTATTGTATTTGTAAAATAGACATAAAAATAATATGATAAGAAAGTCAATTTATACTTTTACACACAATTTATTGATATTTAAATTGGAACGATGGCGGGTGGATAAAAATTGTCATTACTTGTTTGTGCAGATATATAATAGTCCGTCAATGACACCCACCACATCCTCTTTTACCGGTTTTCACATCTTAAAACACTCGTATACCGCCCACCCCTTTTTTTTACCACAAAAAGTATATTACAGCAATAATAATATGCGCTACTCTGAAAGTGCCCTTGTATTTATACAATATTGCAGTATGGAAATGTAATAAAGGATAAATTATAGAAAGAAAAATAACATTGAATAATGTATAACAATATCTCAGTGGGGTCTATCGTCTAGACGTTGTGGCGGTGAATGTAAATGTACTGGTACAGCCAAAAGGCGTTAATGAAACGGCCACCAGAAATAGAGTTGACACTGAGTGCTCAGCTTCACAAGTATATACGGTCAATAGTTGTGACGATTATTTGGCAATTGTACAAAAAAACTGCAATGAGGTGTGAGAATAGCTACTTCTACCGTTTTTAGTGTCAATTGCATGGGTAGGGTAAACGGAAATAGCCAGTAGTAGTCCGATCTAGACAGACACAATAGAAATTCTTTTAAAGGTCCCGTATCCCCACCTCTTCAACAGTATCTATTTTATTTCTGCATTCTAACATTAGACATTTACTTTTTTTTTAAATAAATATTTGAAGTAAATGGATATAAAAAGTCGCTTAATCTTGTAATTTCACATATATTTCATAACTATTTTTGTAACAACTGCCATATGATATTGATAGTTATTTTATTTTAAATTAATCTAAAAGAGTGGCTAAGCTATTTTAATTCATAAGCTTTCTTAACAAATTGATGAGTAAAACTTTTTATTTTTAAATTAATTGAATGTAATAAATTCAAAACTGTATCACTACAGCATGAAATATTATTTTCTGTTTGATGAAGAAAATAATTAGGTGATGAAAACATATACGTGACATTTTATGCTTAATTATATAATCATTTGTTACTTTATTGAACTTTTGGTTTTAATCTCCAATAAACTATTTAATAACACAACAAAAATGTTAATAGAAATATTAAAATTAAATATTTGTTTTCACGTTCAATTTTAAAAGTTAAATTGATCCATAATCCATAAATTACTATAGAAATTTATACTTTAACTGTTCGATTGAAAACTTAACAAGTTTTAAGCCACAAAATATTACTCCAAAGCGAAAATTCATTGTCATTATAGTTTTTTTTTATTTAATAACTCAATACGAGTAATGTATTAAAATATAACTGTTAAATGCTAACCTGATACAAAAACTGTATTGTGATTTCACATGTAAACAAGAAAATTGTATAGACCTGACGAAAAATTTCTTAAGAAATTAGGAAAGTTACTTATTTTTGCCTTATATAAAACAATAAACGTAATTGATAAAAAAAATCTTAATAAAAAAAATGTCGATGGTTTAGCGCACTAAAATGATAGATGACATTTTAGCAAAAATGAGTAAGTCATGAAATAAATGTAAAAATTAACGAATTTAATTTTTACTTAGTTTGATACTTATATATAAAAAAAATTTATTACTTGTAGCTAATATTATTTAAAATTTAAAATTTTAATAAATCTTTTAGAGGGATTCTACAGGAATTAATTATTATATAAATTTCAAGATGTATATGGTTTACTTATAATCAAATTTTATTAAAATTTAAAACTTTTAAAACTTTTTTTTAAATATAATAGATCATAATAAAATTTATTTTAATTTTTGGCAAGCTGTTGAACAATTTTTATTTCACAATGTATAATAAGTAAATATGTTTAAAACTCAACAAAAAGCACTTGATGTTTTAAAACTAAATTATTTGAAAATGTTTTACATTATTAATTTACATGCTGATAAGATACTGTATACTTTACGAACATAAAATATGTTTCATTGCAAACAAACAGAACTCAAGAAGTTGTTTCTAGCTTAGTTATTCACTGTAATATAATATTAAAAATAATAATTTAAAAAATTAACTAAAATTTATTTAAACATTTGAATAACGTCTCCTCAAATAATTAATAATAAATAATAAATTTAATAGGATCTTAATGAAAATTAATTAGTTTTTCAATCGAAGAAAAAGTGTTATTTAATAAATATTGATATTAATAAAATTTTAACATACTACTACAAGTGTAAAATATTTTTGGTCATTTTTTATTTTTATCTAATAAGCTGCTGAAAATAATAACTTGAGGATAACAGATTGTAATGAAAATAAATAAATAAATTAAATAAATAAAGTTATACTAAAAGAATTTGACAATTATTATTGTTCATTTCGTAGATTCTACACGCAGAATGTATATTACTGTCTTTAAGATTCAAGTGAAGAGAAGAATCTGATATTTTGTGCGATAAAAGAATCCCAATGAGGCTAAATTTTTCAAGACGGTATTGAAACCAATTATGTTGTATGGGTCAGTATTAAGCGGTTGACAAAATTTAGAGTGGAGAATGAGTGTAGCAGAGATGAGATTACTTAGATGGATAAGTGGAGTGACGAAAAAAGATAGGATAAAGAATGAATATATAAGAGAAAGCATAGGAGCAGCATCGATTGTAGATAAGATAAAAGGTAATAGGCTTAGGTAATTTTGTCATATTACGATGAGGAAGAATTCGAAAGCTATAAAAACGATTATAAAAATGAACATTGAAGGATTGGAGGTGATATGTGGACTGGTGTGTGTATAACTAACTTTACCTAATGGATGACTTATTACAATGATTTCATTAAGCAATTTTTTAAATATGGCGTTACCTAGCGAGTACAAGTTATGTAAATTAATTAAAAATCAACTTGATAAATTTAAATTAATTTTTTTTATAATGATTATTATCAATAATTTTATTAAGAAAACCTTAATAATAATAATTAAGCAAATTTAATTTAATTATTAAAACTATAATAATAATTAATTCATGTTTTAAACAGTATTCAATTGTAAGTTTCTTTACAGTGATTTGCTTTTATCGATGTATGTAAACTTAAAAAGAACTTTTAGCAAATTAAAACCTTAACAGTTGTGATTTTATTTTAGCAACGGATTCATTAGCTTAAATAGGTTTAGTCCTATAAAGTAACATAAAACGGTTTATCGTAACAAACTTTGAGGATAACTTTCGCGGTCTTGTTAGAACTAAGCTTTTTTAAAATCCGTAAAATATATAACCTTTATTTAAACTAGTTTTACAAAAATAATATTTATATAATATTCAAAATTCCTGATAAAAATGTCTTGTTTTAAAAAGTAGTTTAAAAAATATTGTTATACAATTATGTTTTGAAATTTTTATTTATTTTTTTTTTGTTTTATAAAATACAATTAGTTAAAAACTAAAAAAAGTTCTTTTTGTTTTCTCATAAATAATCACATCAAAAAATCAAAACTTTATTAATTTTAATTTCTTTAAGTTTTTGATTAACATAATATGACAGTTAATATTCGTGTAAAGCTACATTATGATGATAAATTTTAACACACACAAAAAATATTATTTATCAACTCAAAATTTTGAAATAGTTTTAATTTTTTTTTAATTTAGTATTTTAATATTTATTTGAAAAATATTTTATTAATTTTGAGTACAAGTATTCATTGCATTTTAAATATTTATATAATTTAATTAAAAATAAAAAAATTAAATTATTAAAATACAAAAGTACAAAAATATTTCACACCCGGTTACTGATATTAAAGCAAAATATTTGTTGAAAACTCTATGAAAGAAAAGTTTAACATATAATCTCCTCTAAAGGTGTGCTATTTTTTAATTTAAAAAACTTTAAAATACTCAAGTATATTCTTTAACGTTAACACTGTGAACAGCTGTTTCATTATTTGAATAAATATATATTTACTTGATACTAATACATCATAGTTTTCCATTACTATCTGTACGATTTTAGTGCTCATTATTAATTTTTTTTATTATTGTATATATAAATAAAATAGTTAAATTTTTCCATTTTATTGATTTTTAAATTTTTGTGTTAAACATCATGTATTATGCAATTATTTTTTAAACATTATATCTATGGGTTGGATATGATATCCTTGTGATTCAGCTTAAACTACTATCATAAGGCATAGCTGCATATTATTCAAATTACGGACATCGGATATATGCCTTAGGGCTACATCAAAAACCGTATACTCAAACCTTACGACATATAATAATGATTTTATATAATTATATGTATACATTTAACAAGGTAATATAGTAGTCTGGGAATATGCATAAAATAAATCTTCAAAAATACTGATATACACTCGCTGGGTCATTCGATATGTTATGAGTTTATTTTACTTTGTGAAATAAGTTATCTACACCCTTGCCTTGCCAATTTTTCCTAAAAACGATTTTATTTTATATTGATATAATGCAAATTGTGTTTATTTAATATTTAAATATTTATTAATTGTAGACAATATAATCAAATATAAAAGGTAAAAGAAATAACTACTCTGTACCTGAACCAAATAAAATATTACAAAGCCAAACATTTTAAAAATAAATTGATCATGACCATTATTGTTTTATTTATTTTAAATTATTTTTAATAGACTAAATTATATTCCTTTGTTTTAGAAAATTTCAATTGAAGTTAATCAAATTTTTAATGTGAAATGGATAGTTACATTTTGACACCATTGGCTGAAATGGAAGATTTGGAAACGACTGCGATGGACTCAACTATGAATAAGACTGCTGAATCGACTATCATCCCTGAAGATTATGTACAGTCACTAGTGACTATTGAATCGAATTGGGCTAACGGTATGGAAAAAATTGTTTTATCATTTTGACTTTTAATGTTTGTATATTTGAATACTTGTAAAAGATTTAGTAATAGATTATATTGAATGGGTAAAATGACACATCGACAAGTAAATCGGATTATAAAAAATATGCTTAGAATGAATTGTACAGTAAGGGGTTAGTTAAGAAATCCATCTGTAGATGGAGCGATCAAATAGGTCCCAGTCGTCTGTGTTATGACATTTCATAATTGCCTATATAAAACACAAGATAAGTGGTTTGATAAAAATGCTTTTTGATGCACATAAAGATAACATTTAATGCTTTTGAAGTGCATCTTTACATTAGATATATATATTTGTTATTTTTAGTTTTATTATTTATTCAGGTTACACAGGATAAAAAATAATGAAACATTTTCTGTTGCTTGGATAGTCTCTATGAAATTTTGATTCTGACATTGAATCTAACTTCATATTTTTTCTACGACATCCAGTTTTTAAGATAATTACTAACTAGTGATTAAGTGATAAACAATCAATTAAATAATTGTAAAAAACTAAAATTAATTTTTTTTTATTACATAATTTGACTACATTAATATATAATAGTGCTAAATTTTTGACTTATCCTTCAATTTCAACATTTTTTTTAAATAAAAAAGAAATTATAAAATGATAAAACTTAACAGATATACTTATGGCATTTAGTCTCACAGTTATTCAAATAAGCGTAAAGAAAATTACAAATATTTTGCAAATTACAATTGGTCACTCAATTTAGAAGTACAAAAATCAATTTAATCATGAACTAATTGTCATACTCAAAATCGAAATTTACCATTGTCTTAACCGTCAAAAAATGCTTAATGCTGATAAATAATTTTTTAAACACTTAAGAAACTGTTATAAGAAAAGACTTACAAATATAAAATTGCAATTTTTCCTAATTTTTTTTTCATATTTGCATTTTTACTGATTATTTTCCATGTAAAAAAAATCCATTAAATGTATATTTTTTAATTTCTTACAAAATTATCTATCTTTGGAACTGGTTTCATAATTATAATTTCAAAACAAAAATAGTTTCAGTGGAATATTTAGGTAAAAAATATAAGTCAATCGCATTAAAATTTAAAGATTTATAAAAACGATTGAACTCAACGGAAAAGCCAAAAATTTAGCAATACTCTTTTTTAACATCATCAAAGTTATTTTTTAGTTTTTACAATGATTTAATTGATTAATTATCGCTTTATCACTAACTATAATTATCTCAGAAACTGGATAACATGGGAAAAAGCCATATTTTAAATTTTAATTTCATAAAAAAATTTTCCTAAATATTATAAACAGCAAAGTGACTATAGTTCTGTATTATTTTAAAAATTTTTGGAAAATGTATTGTCGCAAAAGCGGTTTTGTAATGTTTATTTAGGATACTTCAATTTGGAACTAAAATAATTCAACCAGTGTATTATTATTCATAGTTTAGAGAGGCTATTGTAATAGACTTCTTCTGTCAAAAATATTTTAAGTTTTGAAATAAAAAAGTTTTATTATGTAAATTGGATTAAGAATTTTTAATCAAGACAGCATTTTATGATTTCCAGTATCTTAAAGGAAGTTTTCAAAGTATAAACCTTAAATAAATATAATTAGAGCCTTTTAAATTTAACACACAGAATGTCTAAATTGAACGCGCCAATAATAAACAATTCCACTTGAGTAGTCTTTGTCGTAAATTAAACGAACGTTTTACCCCTTTTATAAGTATACTTTACCTGGAAACTTTCGTTAGAAGACCTGAACTTTAATAGCATGAAACTAGCAGGGTGCCGAAAGCTCCAGCAGAGTGTTGATAATTCGGCAATCATCAAAACGAGGAAACTATGCATACAAATTTACATATAAAGTCCAAGGTGAAGTCGCTTGGAAAATTATTTCTACGGAAGAAATTCAGCTTATACTAATAAAAGGAAATACAAAATAATATCTCAGCAATCATAATTTTATTGTTATATATTTTAATAATAAACTTCATTATGCTTAAGCAAATTTTACTTAACAATTACAATTTTTAATTTAATCCTTTTTCAGAGAACTTGGTTATATATTATTTCTTTATAATGTCGCACCTAATTTTTTTATTTTTAATAGAGAACAAATATGTCAGATTGTTTCAAATTATAATTATTAGAATATGACCAATATAATGGCGTATATTTTTCATAACTATTATAAAAAAAAACCAACATACAGTTGACTTATTAGTAGTAAGGCATTGGTTATTTCACAGAGATCTCACTAGCAGAGTTTTTGTTAAGTGTATGCAAATGAATTTTGCCTACTGCAAAGTAATAATTTTGTACAGTATAAATATAAAATCATAACCCATTAATTATATACAGTAGTATTGTGTATAAAATGAGTTGACATTAGAAACAACCATGAATAATGATGAATCCCCTGCGTACAAAAATAAGTCGTCAAATTATCATATAAACATTACCCAGAGACATGTGAAGTTCTGAAAGATTTCTCTTAAATAACCCTAGGACGCTTAATGCCCGGTTTAGAGAAGTTAGTATATGCAAAATTTTAAAAATGTTTTCTATATAATAAAATGTTTGTATATATATGTATATTGTTGACATAATTAGGAAGATTAAAACAAACTTTATAAATGCTTTACGTCACGAACCCTGGTAATGTCTAATGGAGGCCCAATACTTGTATGCAAAGTTACTGAAAATCTATGTTTATTTTGAGGTCCATATTTTGTAGCTTCAATTATAGTATTAATATACACTTCTAAAACGCGAAGTTGCATAGCTTTTTGATTGTGATTTATTTATTTCGAAATCTACTCAAAATCATGTAACTATAAAAATATGCTCTAACATTACATCGGTTTTAACACTATTTTTATGCACATAGTGTATTCAGATTAATACTTCAGGTTTTGTCTTATAATAAAAATATATACAGAAGCCATGGCGATATAGCGTTCAAAATACTTACCAGAGTAATAACATTCATGTACAAAATTTAACGTATGGTTCCACTAAATTAATACACTCGCCTATCACATAAAAAGTATTAGATTTATTTAGTAGCAAAATGTTGAATTAGCTGAATAATTTGAATGGACCCTCATGGTCTATTATGAAGAAATGTTATTACTAGAAATTTTATAGAAATTCGATTACTTATTACATGGTTGTGTTTTCGTTTCATTTCTTAACAGATCCATTTAAACCACAAATGGCTTGACCTACGTCTTACTCTATACTGCTATAATAGCAACACGTATATATTTGATCCAAATTACAAAAACAAATAAAATACGAAATTCCCACGTCTGTTGTAAATTTAAGTCAAGTGCTTTCAAGTGTCTATTGATTTTTTTCATTTATTTTTCATTTAAACTCTCCTCGTATAATAGAATCAATAAACTTAAGTTAAATCTTATTCTATAAATCAATACTGCGTCTTAGATGTTATTATTTACTTATAGAGAGAAATGAAATTATAAAGCTTGAACAGTGTTCAATGGCTATAATTTTATTACGCTGTATTTCACATCTTTTAAGAGATGCATTGTTATATATATATATATATTTGTATGCTTAACAATTATTTTCTTGAAAAAATACAAAATCTAAACTGAGCTTTCATAAATAAGAATAATAGCTTAAGGTAAATGAACTAATTGTTGTATTATTCCATTCAACCAGTTTAGTTTATACCTTTACTTAATACTGTTTTATCTTTATATTATTGAAATTTATTGCACCATTTTTGTTTTATTTTCTATAGTTGTTAAATAAAAGTTATTATATAGACTAGAATAGAATGAACATTAGCTATTCGCTAAATACGTTCTTGTTATTATATTTTATGGACTAAAATTTTTTAAATATCGTTAAAGATTATAAGTAACAAAAAACGAATTTATTACTCGATGATGATAGCATTTGATGATAGGTAGTTAAGAAGGAATAACTAAGCTTATAAAATACGGATAAATTTAACGAGTAGTGTAAATCCTTTTTTAAAAGGGTAACATAATTTAAAGTGTTCCTTCGGGATGACTCCCTAGCATATTGTATGATGGTTTTAACACTCGCAACAACACTCTGATTGGCTTTTAAAACTGTTTGTTGTCTATTAACCCCTAAGGCCATTTATCTGCCCATTTAAGGTGAATTGTGATCGTATTTTTTATTTTTCTTATTTGTTCAGTTATTTGATGTTGATTTCTTCAATCGATGTCATGTAAAGGCGTTTGCCTTTACATATTGCCGAAGATCGAGTCCAATAATTAAACTCTTCTAATGGATAGCTGAAGTCACTACTGGGAATGTAAATTATTTTGCTGTCAAGCTACTGAAATTAGAGAAAAATAATTATGCTGGAACATTTCCAGAAACACCGGACCGCCTGAGTAATCTTAATTGGACGGCACTAATGAAATTAATCGCCCATTCTTATCAGAGAGGTGAATTTTCGAAATCGTTTTTAACCGTTCAACTTGCTGCACTGACAACTAGCCCCTCCTGAACAACATTCTAGGAAGTTTTACAACAATAGATTATACCTCATTAATTATAGTTTCCAGATAATATTAATATCTTGTGACAAAAGGTAAAAAAAAAGAAAACCAAAAAGCATCACGATGGAGGCTTATTGTAATATATAATATTAAAGTTAAAAAAGTAACCTACCTACCAGGAGCATTAAAACTACAGCCAACATTCTGTACAATTTCACGCTAATGTTTCTTTTTCATAGACAACATGAGTTCAACTTATTGACTAATTAATTAACTTTTTAAAATCATCGAGTATGATTTTTAAAAATTAATTATAATATAAACGTGTACAATGATGAAACGTTGATGTTTAAGAGTACAAGGAAATACAATACATTTTTCTTTTTGTCTAATAGGTAAAAAAATATCGAAGGACCAAGTTAATTAAATAACTAGTTGACTCATTTTAATACTCTTAAGTT